GAAGGTATGGAGGGCAACCATGGATGCCAGGGACAATGGGGGAGGAAGATGGGACATAGCAGAGGGTGGGGGATGGGGAATCAGGGATGGCAAGACAAAGGGCAAGGTATGCAGGACGTAAGAATTGGAAAATTATTTGCTGAGAACATGTATGTGGATGTGCTTGATTGAGCCAATGCACAGTGTATTTTGATGAAAAATTCATTTGTGTATTGTGATGGTGTAAAGTGAATTAATAAAAAAAAACATAAATAAATAAAACCCAAAACAAAACAAAACAAAACAAAAAAACAACAAAAGAAAGAAAACGTTGGGAAGATCAATGCTAATACTTTAGTTGATAGAATGATTTACATGAATACTTAAGAGGGAGTTACAAGTTGTTTTTTTTTTTTTTTTAAGAGTTTTTGCCATAAGGCACATACACTCACTAGACAGAGAGAGAAAGTGAGAAATATCCTCTAGGAGAAATAGCCATGTTGCAAGCCCATCTCTTCCATTCTCCTTTCAGGATTTTGGGCATGTACACACACATGCCCAGAGTTATTTTCAAGTGACCAGTTCAGGACTCAAACCATGGTTGGCCATGTGGAAATCCAGAACCTTAATCACAATGCCACCTGCTGGCCCTGGGAATTACAATTTTATGTAACATCCTCACAGACACTTTAAAAATCAAAATGGTAGTAATTTTTTGTCCCCAGATTAGTAAAGTAGTCCTAAAGAACTTGTGTGCAAATTACCTCAACATGTCAAATGGAAACTTTGGAATCTCATATAAAGCATAGGTCTTAAATAATGCAAATAGATCTAGGTGGATTTTTATATTACCTAAAATTCAGAACGTTACAAAACAATGGTTGGGAAAATAATTATATACTATGTAATTCATTATTTTTAGACAATTTTTGAGAACTATTCTAGTTCTAACTACTTATTAGATGTTTTGACATGAAAAAGGTCAATTGCTCTATCACTATCCCTCCAAAGCTCAGACCCTGCTCTCCTTTCATCAGCACCATTCTTACAGTTCTTGTTTCTTCATTTTATTGTCCTGCTTATTGACTTCACTCTGCAGGGTCTCTGGGGCTTCCTGGATGTCATGTGTGTCTTTCATCCTGGCAAGAAGTAAAGTCTCTTTTCTTTCCTAGGAAAACAGACCATGACATTAGGCCACAAATATAGCTGGGACTTAAGGCAGATTTTCTTTTGAAAGTGACCTCACCTGTTAATCCCACTTTCTTCAAGCACCTGCCAGATTTAATGATTTCTTTACCAAGCTGATCCCCGAACCAGATTTCTCAAGTGAATGTGCAAGTATCAACATAGCCAATACTGATGTTGGCTAAGGTTATAAGGCGAAGGTGTGTAGCATCCTCTGGAAGCAACTCAAGAGACAAGGCAGTAACCCAGTGGAGTGACCTTTATGACTACCACCTTCATATCTGGCCAGCCTGCCTCTTAGAACACTATGAGGTAATGTCTCCATAGTTACAAAGTTCCAGTCTCTCAACAATGACTATACTGATGCTGCATCTGCTTTGCAGCTTGCAGACATTAAATAATGTAACTTGCTGTCAGGAGAGCCATATCTTCCACCAGACAGATTTTGCCATCAAAATGTTTGATATCTTCGTTTGGATTTCTGAGGGTCAAGGCCAATATGTAAATATTGGGGGAATTAATCCCAATTTTTCCTTTCTCCCTTCCCTTTCTCCCTTCCTTCTCTCTCTCTCTCTCTCTCTCTCTCTCTCTCTCTCTCTCCCCCTTTCTTTCAATAAATACTCTAAGCACATGAAAACAACCAGGCATCAGGAAAAGAAAACACAATTTCAAGGCAAAAGAAGCTTATTGCCAGAAATAGTAAAGTCAAAGCCAAAAAAACTAGTTATGCCAGCAGATGATTTCGAAGACATTATTTTATTCAGCTGTTATTCTATGTGAAAGACTCATACCTAATGTTTCATGATAATCAGGTGAGAAAAAAAATTAACAGATAGGAAAGTACATGATTCGGGGGCCAGCAGGTGGTGTGATGGTTAAGGAGCTGGACTCCCACATGGCCAACCTTGGTCCAAGTCCCGGACCTGGAGGTGTGCTTTCTCACTTTCCCTTTCTCTCTCTCTCTCCAGTCAAATTTTTAAAAATATATAATAATAAATAAAATGAAATAAATAATTCTTTTAAAAAGAAAGTACACCTCTTTTCGTCCCTGGCTGCTTGAGGACATACCGCCATCATGAATGACACAGTAACTATCTGAACCAGGAAATTCATGACCAACCGACTACTTCAGAGGAAACAAATGGTCACTGATGTCCTTCACCCCGGGGAAGGCAACAGTACCTAAGACAGAAATTCGGGAAAAACTAGCAAAGATGTATAAGACCACACCAGATGTCATCTTTGTGTTTGGGTTCCGACCCATTTTGGTGGTGGCAAGACAACTGGCTTTGGAATGATTTACAATTTGTGAAGAAAAATGAACCCAAACATAGACTTGCAAGACATGGCCTTTATGAGAAGAAAAAGAAAACAGTGAAAGGAACACAAGAATAGAATGAAGAAAGTCAGGGGGACTGCAAAGGCCAATGTTGGTGCTGGCAAAAAGTGAGCTGGAGATTGGAGAACAGTCGAAGGAGTAAAGATTCTGCAATGACTATCTGCGGTGATTGTGCAGATTTTTCATGAGAGGATTAATAAACTAAAAAATTTTTTAAAAAAGAAAGTACATTATTCTACACAGTCATAAGCTATATTAATGATGATGAGCACTTGATGAGTGAGTTCACTCAATTCATGAGTACGTACTATGTACTAGGACATTAAGAAATAATAAAGTATATTTTGTTGTAGATATAAAAATGGCTTCTCTTTTGGAATGATGAATTCTATTTCAATACAAAAGACAATATAAATAAAGTAACTGTTTTAATAAGTCGAAATAAAAAGATAAGGAGTATATCATAATACAAGTAAGCTAGAGGAGGGTAAATAGTTGACTATATTTTTTCCATCTTAGAGATGAAGCATAATTCCCTATTAGCATTATTGGTCCATTATGTAAAGATACCATCAGGAGATGAATAAATTTATAGTTATACTTGGAAAATAATTAAAAATGGATTAATAATTTCTTGCCACTATCAGTTTCTCTACCTATATTAGACTGTATGGTCTCCTAGCTGTTAAACATTTTTCTACTTGAACTATACATAGTAGCATGAAGTCATTATGACCTTATTTGTTTTTTCAGAGAGCTTATTCCTATTTTCCAACATAGCTTGAGAAATAAAATTCTGTCATCTGAGAAAGACTTTTGAAAGCTTTCAATATGTGACTATTTCAATATTGATTCCCATACAGGATATATTTTGTATTTCTTTTCCAAAAATTCTTCCATATCTGCAATGAAATCAGTTCCATCTTTTGCTACTACTTAAATTAATCCAGAGGTTTTCAACAGGGGACAAAGTACACTATAGAGGGGTATTTTGTAAATAAGAGAGGACATTGATAGTAGTCACAGGGACTTGGGCGGAGTGCTGAGGGCATTTGGTGGACAGGAGCCAGAGATGCTACACTTCTTGCAATGTGATGGATAATCCTGCCTGACAAAGAGTTTTTCCACATCCACCTGATCTGCCATACATCCATACAGGTAGAAAATAAATTAGAACTATTTGAGCCTAAAGTCCAGTTCCACATAACATATAAATGCAAGATATTTTTGCACATTTGAAATACATACCAAAATCCCCAGGAAGTATTAATAACTATTGTTTAGGGATCAACAAGTGGTGTGGTAGTTAAGGAGCTAGACTCCCACATGGTCAACAGCAGTTCAAGTCCTGGACCTGGAGGCTTGCTTTCTCATTTTTTTTTTCTCTCTCTCTGATAAGCACACATGCCCTATAATAAATTAAAAAATAATAAAAATAAATAGAATTAAATAAATAATTCTTTAAAAAAAACAAAAAAACTATTGCTCAAATTGAGAGAGAGGTACATCAATTTGTTCAGACTTTTTCCTAGAGTTGTTTACCAGTTTGGAAAAGTTACATCATTAATGGAAATACTCCTTGGTGATATTTATGTGGTTGATATCATCTCCCTGACATAGGTAATAACAGCAGCAACAATACCAACAATAGCAACAAAATCAACCTGAATCTGATAAACCTTCTAATTTACATAAAATATAAAAAGGAAAAAGAGCGCATTAGCTAGCAGATTAAGAGATTTAAAATCCCTCTTTTTTACTTTATAGGTATGATTTCTATTCTAATTTAAGCAAACTGTAAAAAGCTTATAAGATAGTAAAAATATAAATACTTTACATATTTAATGACATGAAGGAATAATTACATATTTTGGATGTGATACAGTATTATGCTTGTATTTTTATTTATTTATTTATTTATTTATTATCATCATAATCTTGTTTATATTACATTGGATTGCATATTACTTTACAGTGTATTACATTGCTTTTTCAAAAGGGAATGCCATGCATGTCAGTCAATACAGAGACATTAATCTCCCACTTCATCATTCAATATTTTTTTTTTTTTTTGAGAGAGATTTTCGCTATAGGGCGCATGCGCTCGCCAGACAGACAGAGAGAGACATAGAGACAGAAAGCGAGAAATCACCCCCCAGGGGGGATGGTCACGCCGCAATCCCTTCTCCTCCATTCTCCTCT